TCCCAGGACTGAGCCCAATGTCGAGGCCAGCGGCAGCCCTCAATGAACACTCCATCTGCGGCCAAGGAGTAGTAGGGGAGGGGAGCACAACCAAGGTCACGGGTAAGAACCGACTCACGTATATCTTTACGAAGAAACCTGTGCCAAGGAGGGTGTCGGGATGATAGCTACCTGCCTCCCCCTTCTCCTCTGGGAGCTGAGGAACCGGTCCTCCAGGAGGCAGATTTAAGAGAGCAAGACTTGCCCTGGCCGGTGTGGCTTGGTGGTTAGAGTATCAGCATGTACATCGCAGGGTCTTGGGTTAGATTCCAGGTCAAGGGCATGTACCTGGGTTGCAGGTTCGATCCCTGGCCCCAGTCTGGGCACATGCAGGAGGCAGTCAATCGATGTGTCTCTCTCACATCGATGTAGTTTTTCTTTTTCTCTCCCTCTCTCCCCATCCCTCCCTCCCTCCTATTCTCTCTAAAAATCAATGGAAAAAATATCCTCAGGTGACGATTAACAACAAGAGATGGCGAGACTGCCTCATTTACATTCCGTCTTTGACCCCCCACCCCCACCCCCCACCCATAAGGAAAACGGCCAATGTTGCCGCCCTCCTGTCCCCACGGTGAAGTGACCTCCGGATAGAGGGCAGTGCGGTCAGGCCTCCACAGAGAAAACCTACTCCATTTAAAGGACTGAAATTCAGTCTGTGGTCGCATTCTTCCGATGTAGTAAAGGGACCTTTCATTTATTTTTAATTTACTTTTTAGAGAGAGAGGAAGGGAGAAAGAGATAGAAACATCGATGTGAGAGAGAAACATTGATGTGTGAGAGAAACATCGATCAGCTGCCTCCTGCACGCCCCCTACTGGGGATCAAGCCAGTAACCCGGGCATGTGCCCTGACTGGGAACCAAACCGGGACCTCTCAGTCCATGGGATGACGCTCAATCCACTGAGCCACGCTGGCCAGGCTAAAGTACCCTTTTAAAAAATTGTGTATTTTTCATTATGATCGTAGTTAGGAGTTGTTCATTGATTCATTTTTTTAGTGTTTTCACTTGCAAAATTAGAAGTAGGTAGGCTAGCCCGGCTGGTGTGGCTCAGTGGTTGAGCATCGACCCATGCACCAACAGGTCGCTGGTTTGATTTCAGGGCACATGCCCAGGTTATGGGCCTGATCCCCAGTGTGGGCATGCAGGAGGCGGTCAGTCGATCTTCTCTCTCATCGATGTTTCTCTCTCTCTCTCCCTCTTTCTTCCTCTCTCTCAAGTCAATAAAGACAGAAAAGTAGGTACCCCGATGGTAGATTACCAGTTCTGGTCTGTGAAATCCGTAAGTGTGGAGACTGCTCATGAAAGCCACCTTCCAGCTGCCCAACCGAGTTACGAACATGTCACCTTGGGGCTGCCAACGCCTCCCCAGGTACGCTCTTGCCCACGTCAGCTCAGCTCTGCTCTGCCTTCATTTCCCCATTTCCAGTCATCTCGCCAAACCCCGTCCACTCCCAAACCACGCCCGACCTGGCTGCGTGCCGGCCACGTTCTCAGCACCGTGGGCACGGCAGTGAGTGAGCGCGGTCTGTGGCTCCTCCTCATCTCCCTCTTCCTCACTTGCTGCTGCCCCGACCTTGACCTCCGTCAGCTTCCAAGGGCCTCTCAGCCCGGACATTTTTCAGTTGCAAAGCGTCGTTCCTCCTTCGCCGTCACTCATCCCGTAGTCGGCTTGGCCTGCCACGGCCCTCGAACCCTTTCCATGATACCTTCTATCGGTGATCAGATTTTGCACACAAATCTCCAGTATGTGCGTATTGGTTGTTTTTAAGTCATATGCATGGATGTGCGGTGTGATAAAACACACTCACACAGGAATTGTGAAGGGAGGCAGAAATAAAGATAGATGTCGGTCCTACTGTTTTGTTCTCTGCCAACACCCTAGCAGGCTCCCTTCCGCCCTCTCTCTCCGCAGACTTGCTCTCCTTGAGGCCACCGAGTCATCAAGCCACCGGGCACTTCCCTTTCTGGTCCCAGAAGATGGCAGAGCTGGCAGCTGGGACTTCTCCGGTGGCTCCGTGTCCCTTGTTCGATAGTCTCTCCTCATACCTGCCACTGTCCCCCTCTGGGCGGCAGGGCAATAGCAGGCAACATGGGGCTTCGCCCTGTTTGGAGACCTTTTGGAGAAATCAGCTGCGATGACTCTAAATTGCAGACCAGATGAGGACACTCAGGCCTACCAAATCTCTTCCTGTCCCCTCTTCCTCCCTTTCCGCTCCGAATCCACCGACCTCTCGCCATTCCCGAACTTGGCCAGTCCGCTCTGACCTCTGACCTCAGACCTGTGCGCCTGCTCCCTCGGCCAGGCCCGTGCTGTGCAGATTCTGCCCTGCTGGCCCCAGCCTCCTCGGGAGGCCTCCCTCTTCCTCCCTGTCACCCTGACGCTGCTCCCTTTTTCTTTATCACGCCTCTCACGCCATGGCATGGTGTTCTTCATTGCTGTAGCCTCAGTGCCTGGAACACAGTAGGTGTTCAACTAATGAGTGTAGTTTCTCCCAAATCTATATTCCTGCTCACCTGAGCTCCAGGGCCATATGGCCAATGTCCTTCTAGACATCTTCTGTGTGTCTCATGAGCTCCTCCATCTCAACATGTCCCCAAATTTTACTATCTTCTCCCAAACCTGCCTCTCAGCTGCCTCTCAACCGTTCACCACTGGCCCACTTTGGAAACCTGGCAAGGACACCAGACACCTCCCCTGTGATGGCCTAGTGGTCCCGAAATCCTGAGTTTCTCTCTGGATTCTCCCTCACGGCTGGGCCTGACCACTGTTGGCTCTGCAGGGCCCTCGTTATGTCTTAGGGATTGTTCTCCCTAACCAAGTTCCACCCCATCCTTTTTACTGCCATGACTCTCTCTGAAACTCAGTGGTCACAGAAACGCTGGGATTCTCTAGAGGACCAAGTTCTGACTCAGTTTGGCTCAGAAGGACCCACAGGTTCGAGATCAGCTTCCCACATCTTTCTGGCTTCACTTTCAGGTCGAACCACCCGGAGGTTCCCCTAAACACCTCCACGTCTCACCTGGAGCATCCACCCTTCACCTTCCAATGGCAGCTTCTCCACCTGGAGAAATTCGTCTCGTCTTTCCTAATTCCACCTCTTCCTTCATTGCAACCAGGCCCACAGCTTTCTCTTCTTGTTGAATTTTACTGGCCCATGTAAATACACACATCTATTAATATTTCTATGCGTAGCTACCGGTGTCTATAGTAAGCTGCACATGAGCTCATAGCAATTATCTCTAGCTCTAATCAATTACCACGTGGATCATTATAGACCCCCTCTCTTGGTTTCCTGTAATTTCCCACTGCAACAATGAGATGGTTCCTACCGTCTGCCATCCATGTACTTGCCTGATTGATCTCAGTATACATGTATAATACAGGTCTCTCATTGTATTTTACCTGTGGGTTTATTTGCTCTCAAGATCAAAGCTCATTCCCAAGCACTTAGAAATAACTACACACCAGGCACTGATCTAAACACTATAAACACAGTATCTAATTCTCCTAACCAACCATGTGAGACATTTATTATTCCTTCCATTTAACAGAAGAGGAAACTGAGGTACAAAAAAGCCAGAAGGTACAGAAGGGTTGAAGCCAAGTTAAGCAATTACTAAGAGGCAGAACCGAGGTTGACCCCACAGAGCAGACCTCCAGAGTCATGGACTCCACAGCCTTCCTGTGTACGAGGTGTAGATAACGTGAGCTGAATGAATGATGCCACAGTCCCTTGACTTCTGACTTTCCAGCCTTACCGCTCCTCAGAGACTACACTGAAGATCCCTCCTGCAGAAGGTCAAGGACGGTTCAATCCCAGCATTGTGCTATTTACTTCATCTGTGCCCTCAGCACTCTTATACGTTATATAATTAATCATTCTACTCCCCCAAAAGCTGTTCCCAATCCCACCTCTGTCCCACCTGGTCCTGAGCCATTGCCTCCACTAATACCGTATTTTCTACTCAGCAGGTGTTCCCTCCACTTTCCTGTCCCACCCCTCAAAGTTTTCTCCACCTTCTTGCACACACCCTCTTCAGACACACACAGGTCTCTCTGCAAAGCCTCTAGCTCTGCAGTATTGGGGGACTGCATTCCCTCCTCACTCCCTCCCTCCCTGTGTCACCTTTAGGACGAGCAAAAGCTTCCCCGATCTCACATTTAAAAAATCGTCCCTCTCTTCTCCCCTTCTTTCAGAAAATATCACTGAGTGCTTTCTCCATGCCTGCTCTAGGCAGTGGGGATTCTGGGATAAACAAACCCGGCCAAAGCCGTGTCCTCAAGGGGCTGACACTCCAGTGCAGCCAGGCTGCTTGACGCAGCAAGGAATACCCCCACTCACCTGCTCACGGAAAAGAAGCACATCTTGGTGATCAGCGATTATATTTGTTTTATTGAGTATACAGAGACAATTTCATTGTCCTCTAACAATAAAATTTAGGGTTAATAATCCCTCACTTGGTTAAAGTCTCCACAGAGACCTGTTCCCCAACTTCCTAGACACTATGAATTGTGACCTCACACTTTTCAAGAGTGGTGATTCTGGGGACAGATCAGACGAGAGAATGATTCTGCCCTGAGCACGTGCCCGTGGCCCCCAGAAGACCCAGGGGATTGGAGAAGATGTTTCTCTGGCCAAATTTGATTCCTTCTGTCTCCCCTCTCCCATAGTAATGCTTTTTGGTATAAGAGCGAGGGTTACAGCAGCCCCACAATGGCTGACCCAGCCATGGTCGAGGGACGGCTGCTCGCTGTGACTCGGGGCTGGTGCTGGGCCAGTCTGGAGAGAGACAGCCTGGCTTTAACCCTGCACAGAAGCCCTCTGGGCAGCCCCAGTGGGACCTGTGTTCCACACTGGACTTGTCCGAGTTCCGGATATTTACAGACAACTACTAGTCAGAAAAAATCCCTAGAAGGGAGCTCCACACAGACCCACTGAACACACACCCCCGGCTTGAGTTACTGCTCCAAGGTGGAGGGCGGGAGCTCCTTCAGTTCCTCCTTTTCTGGGTACACCTCTGACATCTTGTTCATCTTGGCGAAAATCTGATTGATCTCCATGAACGTCTTGGCCTTGGTCTCGGGCACAGCCAGGAATACGTAGATGGTGGTGAGCAGACAAATCGCAGCAAAGATGATGAAGCTGTAAGCTTCAAGGCCCTTCTGTGTGGGGGGGGGAGGGGGCCAGGTTATCACTCTTGAAGAGGTTTTCCCTTTACGGCTTGAGGACTTTGTGGATCCAGAGCCTCCGGGGACCCACTTACTTGAATGAAGGGGAAGAGCAAACCCACGGTGAAGTTGGAGAGCCAGTGGACGCTGCCGCCCACCATGAAGGCCGAGGACCGCGAGGACTGCAAGAAGATCTCGGTGATGAGCAGCGCGGGGATGGGACCTGCGGGGAGAGGGGGCTCCACTCGCGCAAGGCGGAGCAAGCCCGGCAAGGGCCCCGGAGCCCCTGCGGGGTGCCAGAGGGGGTGATGAGTCTAGGACTCCTGGGCCTGTGCAGAAACAGTACGAGAAGGCCAAAAGCGCGAGCCACATCCCGTGATGTCCCTAAGAGGGGCCGTGACCATCTGTAAGGCTCTCGGCGCTAATCGCACAGGGCAGGTGGTTCAGCCTACACCGGCTGCTTCACTGTTTTCACTTAATTACGCTGCCCACACCCCACGGCAACAGGGAAACGGGCGTCCCTGGAGCCCCCAGGAGCTCAAGCCGGACATGTCCATGGCGACGGCGCAGGAAGGGGGCCAGGGAAGCGCAGCACCAGCTCTGGGTACATACTGGGCCCAAGGGCATGTCCTATGACGTAGGCGAAGACACAGGCGATGCTGAGGTACGGCATCCAGGACACTGTGTCCTGTGGGGAGGAAACAGTTGGATCACACCTGGCAGAGACAACCTGGGACAGGGAATGCCAGGAACCTGGTTCCCAGAGGGCCAGCTGCTCTGCCCGGGTTGGGGAAGGATGGCACCTGGCTCCTCCTTCAACAGGCAGTGCCACCTGCTGCCATCGGAAAGTCGGCAGGAAGTGGGCTGTGGGCTACGGGGGTGGGGGCCCACATGCCCAGCCAGGCCCCACCGCCTCACCTGCAGAGCCAGGGCGGTGGTCAGCACGCAGCAGGAGGTGCAGCAGATGGAGAAGCCCAGGAGGAGCAGGACTCTCCGCCCCAAGAGCTCCACCACGAACACCTGGGGGGAGGGGCCAGGAAAAGCAGGGGGGCTCAGGAGCCCCAAGCCCCGCCGGACACCCCTGCCCAGTGCTGCCTTCGCAGGAAGCTCCTTGCCCGCCCCGCACACCCCCTCTGAAGGGCATCTGTGAGGAGAGCCCAGGCGTGGTGTGCCCCCAAGGGTGTGCCCCCGAATGGCCAGCGGGCCACAGCACTGCCCAGTCCAGGGGCCCCTTTGCTCCTGCATGTGGTGGCCCTGGCACAGGCAGTGGTTTCCAAGAGGTCAGAGCGCCACCTCACCCAGGGGAGCTTTGGGACCGGGGGAGGCTTGTCTCCATCGTGAAGAGCCAGGGTTACCTCCCACGAGAGACCGGCTGTCACCTGCCAGAGCCCAGAGGCTACCCGTGGAGGGACTGAGGGGCAGGACCCCCACTCTCGAGATGCCCTCCATCCTTGGCAGCTGCTGGGACCCAGCTCCCCGGGACACTCACAGCTAACATGGTTATCACCATGTTGACAGCCCCGGTGCCCGCCGTCACATACTGGACGTCGCTGGCTCCCACCCCAGCGTTCCGGTAGATCTGGCCTGCGTAGTAGTAGATCTGGAAGGCAACCCGGGGCTGGTGGGCTGGCCCGGCCGCAGCCCGGCCGCTGCCCGCTGCCCGCTGCCCGCTGCCCCCGCCCTGGGCGCCCCCTACCGCGTTCACTCCCGACAGCTGCTGGCCGCCCATGAGGATGATGATGGAGATGAGCTGCCACCGCAGGGACCTCATCTTGAACAGCTTCACCACGGAGATGAAGCCAGCAGCCTTCTCCGCCTCGTTCTCCAGCCGAATCTCCTCCATCTCAGCCTCCACGTCCTCCCAGCCGCGCAGTCTCCTCAGCGCTAAGGGAGGGGACCAGGGGACCGTCTGGGGTGAACCACAGCTTCGCCGAGTGAAGGTGCTGCAGCCCTGTCCCTCCCCCCACGGGAGGGCCTCACCCTTCCTGGCGGCTTCTTCGTCTTTCTTCTGAACCAGCAAGTACCTGGGGCTCTCGGGGAAGAAGGGCAGCAGCAGAAGCTGCAGACCTGCGGGGATCCCAGTCACCCCAAGGAGGATCGGCCAGCCTGCAAGGAACCAGCGTCTCTGTGAGAGCCGGATCCAATACTACGTGCCAGAGAGGCCCCCGAGCCAAGACTCCCGCCCCCTCCAGCCCCCAGCCGGCTACTGAGTCCTGTCGCCCTGGCCAGTTCCCTTCGGAACCGGGACACAGGCTCCGCGGGGACGGGGCCTTTATCTTGCTCATCCCTGTGTCCCCAGCACCTAGGATGATGCTTAACAAACACTCTGTAAATACTTACAAAATGCACAGCGATGAACACCTAGTGTCCACCTAGCAGGTGGACAAAATAAAAACTCTGACACCACCAAATGCTGGTGAGAATGTAGACAGGCTGGCAGGAACGGCTGATGCTGGCCGCCCTCACGGGCGCTGACCCGGCAGACCTGCTCGGGTGTGTGCCCGGGCCACCAGGGCACGCAGCCAGAAAGGTCAGAGCAGCCGACGGCAGAATGAAACCCGGGAGCAATGCACATGCCCCCTGGGGTGGTGTGGGGACGAGAAAAGTGGATTCGATACTGAGAGCGAGACAAGGAGCCCCTGTGGCAGGAAGCCCGGGACGGAAAATCCGCTTTATCTTGGCAAAAGATGGTGAAGCAAGGCTGGGGTGATCATTAATATCAACTCATTGGCTCCTTTTGGGGTGGGAAGGCCACAGCCGAGGGCACACAGCGGGCTTCCGGGGGGCTGGTGGGGTTCTAGTTCTGGCCCCGGGTGGCGGTCACCTGGGTGTTTGATTTCTGTTGGACCAAATGCACCTTTATGTTTTATACATGCTTCCTCCTTCACCGCGCAGGGACGGCGCAGTGCGTGAGAGGAGTTCGGGCTGCTTCTAGGGGCGGTCGATGCCCCGGCTCACCCCATTTCTCCTGGGCTTGCAGCGAGCTGACCGAGACGTCTGTGCGCTGCACACCCGGCTCTTGTGTTAACTCGCTTCGTCCCAGCAACGTCACGAGGCAGGTGCCGGGACCAGCCCCCTTTCACACGTGTGAACCCTGAGAGACCTGGAGGGTGTCGGTCCCTGGCCCAGGATCAGTTATTTAGTGGCAGATCTGAGACGTGAACCCAGGCACGTGGGACCCTGGGCACCCTAAACCACATGCTATGCAGACTTTTCATCGAACTGAAGGTGAGGACCACCTGAGGATCACCTGACGACCAGTGATTTGCCGCTTATTAAATAGATGCCAACCACTGAAATGGGAGGGAAACACCTGAAGAACACCCTCGTTTAGACGTCGTTTCCAAGTCATGTGTCACTCCCTGAACCTCGCCCCATCCCACCGCCCCATCGCTCGCGGCCACCAAGACAATGAGAGCTGCCCTGGCCGGTTTGGCTCAGCGGTTAGAGCGTCGGCCTACGGTCCGGAGAGACCCGGGTTCGGTTCCCACTAAGGGCATGTACCTCGGTTGCAGTTTGTCCCCGGCCCTGGTCGGTTGTGCGGGTGGCAGCCACTCGATGTGTCCCTTCACGTCGATGTTTCTCTCTCTCTCTCTGTTCCTCTCTCTCCCTCCCCACTCTACCTGAACAAAAAATGGAAAAATGTCCTCGGGTGAGGATAAAAAAATAAATTAAAAAAAAGACAATGAGAGCTGTGCAGTGTCAGGTTCAACCGTGCCCGCCCACACGGGCTGGACCTCCTTCCCGACCTCAGCTCTGAGCCAGGAGCCACTCCGCCTGGGTGCTGCTCCGTCACCCTGCACAGCCTCGTGCGCACCCGCGGCCCACTCGGGCCACCGCCCTCTGCCTCTGGTCCCCACCCCCACTCACCCCCGCACTGAAACTCTTCTGGGAGACTTTGAACTGTCCAGCTCGGATGCCGAGTTTGCAGTGTCTGCACTGTGACCGCCGCGTCCTTCCTGACGCTGTTCTCGTCTCGCCTCCCTCCCTCCCTCCCTTGTTCCCTGAGCACCTGTTATGTGCCAGGAATTGTGCTGGGGAGTCAAAGATGAGTGAGGCCAGGCCCTGCCCTGCACACACCTGCCTGCAGGAAGGGCACCGCTGGTCAGTGTCTCAGGGAGGACGGGGGGACAAAACGCAGTTCCCAGGATGCGAAAAGCACTTTCACACGCTCACACGCTCCGCCCGTGTCTGGAAGCCAGTCCCGCTCCCCTCAAGGGCAGGCCCTCTCTGAGGCCCCTCCCTGGTGGGACCACACCCTCCCACACCCACAGAGCACTTCAGAGACGCCAGGCCCTGCCACCGCTCTGGGCTCTGCTTGCTCTTTCCATGCGATCGGCAGGAGAGAGGACCCCAGTCCCCTCCTGGTCCCGCGCTCTCCAAGCGGGGCTGGAAGGTGGGAAGAGTGGAGGTCAGACGTGGCCTAGGCCTGAGCTGCCTGAGTCTGTGCCCGAACGAGGCCTTGAACATGTCATAACCTTACTATGCCTGAGTTTCCGCACCTGTAGGATGGGCACAACAACAACAACATGTGCTTCGCCGGCCTGCCTGGAGGGTTAAATGGATCGATATGGAAGACCTGGTGCCCGGCCCACAACAAGCACTTTATACATTTCGACTGGTGTTATTGATGGTGATATCCCTTTCAGAGGTTCGAGACCCAAGACAAAGGAAGAGGAGGTCACTCAAAAACAACGAGTTAGGAGTTACTGTGCACCTACTATGCGCCAGGCACCGGACTCTCAGGGTGGGCTGTGTGGCTCCGGTGTGAGGGTCTGGGTGGCCCAGGACTCCCCACCTCACCCACAGGGGCCTGGTCTGGGGAATGGGTAATGCACAGCCGCCTGGAAGCCACAGGCATGGAGCCTGGCAGGCGGGTGCCATCGGGACCGTGCCCCAGGCCCTGTATGGACAGCCACCATCAGGCCAAGGGAAAGTCAGACAACAGCGCTTCCTGCTCACTGAAAGCCACCTCACTCATGTCCTGAGAGAGACTAGAAAATGCCAGCCACTCTGTCACCACCAACTGAGGGGTCAGGGCAGTGTTGGGGCCCAGAAGGACAGCCAGCCACTCTGTCACCACCAACTAAGGGGTCAGGGCAGTGTTGGGGCCCAGAAGGACAGCCAGCCACTCTATCACCACCAACTGAGGGGTCAGGGCAGTGTTGGGGCCCAGAAGGACAGCCAGCCACTCTATCACCACCAACTGAGGGGTCAGGGCAGTGTTGGGGCCCAGAAGGACAGCCAGCCACTCTATCACCACCAACTGAGGGGCCAGGGCAGTGTTGGGGCCCAGAAGGACAGCCAGCCCATGAGAGAGAAAAGACCAGCTCACAGACACGAGCAGCGAGCGGAGGGAGGGCCGGGGCCCGGAGGCGTCTGAGCCTACCTTCCTTGTTTGCGAGGATGTTCTGAAGGCCTAAGATCTGGGCCACGAGGATGCCCACGGTGATGAAGAGCTGGGGCACCACCCCCAGAGCCCCCCTCAGGTTCTTGGGGGCCATCTCCCCTAAGTACATAGGAACAACGTTGGAAGACAGACCTGGGAGGAGGTTGAAACAAAAACAGGATCAGGAAAGAGTCGGTGGGGGGGGCAGGCTGTCACTTCAAGTACATTTATTCTCACTCAGTGGTCACATCAGTTGGGCTGCAACTTTCTCAAACCTGCCGACATCCTCTGGCCGGGTGGCTCAGTTAGTTGGAACGCTGTTCCGTACACCAAAAAGTTGCAGGTTCGATCCCTGGTCAGGGTGTGTGCGGGAGGCAACCGATCGATGTGTCTCTCTCACATCGATGTTTCTCTCTCTTGCTCTCTCTAAAAATCAATAGAAACATATCCTCAGGTGAGGATTAAAAAAACAAAAACTGCCGAAGTAAGCAAACACCTCTTTTAATTCTAGGTCCTTTAAACGTTGAGGAAGGAGAACACAGTCTGAGCACAGGAGGTCATGGACAGGTGCCTTGGTTTCCTGACGGGTGTCAGCGGGGGACACAAGCCAGCCTGGCTTCAGGCTTCCCCCTAACTGGTTTGGTCTCGGAGAAGAGAAGCCCAGGGTGGTCCAGACACTCTCTCCCCTCTTGCCCCTTGCGGGGAATCTGTTAATGAGAGATCAAGTCGCCTGCCCCACCAGCTTCACCTTCGGAGACAGTCTGTTACGTGATGCACCAATCCACATCCCTCCACAGACACTGAGGCTATATTGACCAATAAGCATTAAGAACATCTGTGGAATCACTGCTGTGTGGGATTTATGTTTTGCCCAACGGGCTCTGGAGTTTGGCACATTTGTTATCCCACTTAATTCTGCTCAAAGCCCAGCGAAAGGCTGGGCCTGTCAGCGGGTCGGGTGGGCTGTTGCCAGGCCGCGCGCTGTGCGGCTGCTCAGGCGATGGGGGTCTGACGGTACGTGGTGACGCTGAGCTAGGTGGGAACTGAAGACCACGTTTCCAAGCTTCGCACCTCTCCCCAAGGACATCGCTGCTTAGTATTGAAGAGACACCGCCGTTCATTAATTCCGATTCTTTCTGCTTATCGGAGCAAAGAGGTACAGTCTTTAGAGCAGCTCTTAGGTGTCTTGGGGGGAGGGCACCCCGCAGGCCCAGTGCCCCAAAGCCTGGGGAGGGCTCCAGGTCACCACTCAGACCCTGGTGGCCTCATCCTCATGGCAAGGACTTCTGACCTTGACTGAGGTGGACACTGAAGAGTGAAACATCGGGCAGTTTGTGAAGAGATGAGATTCCCTTCATGTTGGTGGAGCGCAATCTCTATTTGGTCTTAAAAATGACTGGGGGATGGGGGGGGGCAGCCCCAGCCTGTGCTGAAACCAGAGCCAGAGAAAGCGGCCTGAACGGTGACGCCCTTCAGTGACAGCGCTCAGTGTCCTTGCCAAGCGGCTGCCTAGGAGCCGCCAGTGAGCTGGGAGCACCTGAGTCCAGGTCACATTTCTCTCTCAGCCCCTTGGCCGGAGCGACTGTTTGCACATTTGCAGAGTGTCTGGGGAGCGGGGTTACACCCCCTGACTTCCCAGGAGGTGTGGGCATGAATCCGCCACACGTGGATTCTGCTTCCGTGGCTGTTCTCCAAGTAGGATCTGAGGACCCAGGGAGTTCCTGGCATCAGGGCTCTCTGAGATCAGAACTATTTTCAGGACAATCCTGAGCTGTTCTTTGCATTTTTGTTCTCTCATAAGCACACGGCGGGGTGCTCGGAGGCGACAGGCCGTGCGGTGTTGGAACCGGCAGAACACAGATGGGGGTTTGAGACTCGGCTTCCTCTGTGAAGCCAGACGTTAAAGAGATTTGCAAAAATGTAAAGCCATACCCACTTTTCTCACACAATTTTTTTGCTTTAGAAAATACAGTTATTTTACAAAGACATGGAGTGGGATTATTGCTGTTTTTAAATGAATGCATACATTTTCTTGGGAGCAACTTCTAATATGGCAACTATTGATCTATAGAGCCCATATGAACAAAGCTCTTGGGAGTTTTCGGTAAGTTTAAGAGCATAAAGGAGGGATCCTAAGGCCGAACAGTTTGAGAGCTGCTGACTTTAATGCTGACTTGAGAGCAAAGGTTGGGGTTTTGAGCTGTGACCCGTTATCTGTCAGACCTGACTCTGAATTGTTGGCTGGTCAACAGGACAGGGACTGTGCCTGATCACTGCTGACAACTTTTAGCCATCATCTATTTTTATTTTTTTTATTTTTAGAGAGAGAGGAAGAGAGAAGGAGAGAGAGGTAGAAACATCAATGAGAGAGAACATCGATTGGCCACCTCCTGCATGCTCCCCACTGGGGATCGGGCCCACAACCTGGGCATGTGTCCTGACCGGGAATCGAACTGGTGACCTCTTGGTGCCTGGGATGATGCTCAACCACTGAGCCACACCCGCTGGACCACAGTCGACTCTATTTAAAAAACAAAATGTATGCCCTGGCCAGTTTGGCTCAGCAGTTAGTGTCGACCCCAGATTGATGTGGACCCTCCTGGTGACTGCTCCCAGTCACAGCACGGTGACGCGGTGTAGCCTTGCTTACCTGCGCATATGCCCACCAACAGTCTGGACAAAATGATCATCTCAAATGACCTGGCAACCTTGCTGTACCCCATTAAGATCGCGGGCACAATGGAGAAGATGTTGTTCAGAAGCAAGGTCCCTTTCCTGCAGAGGACAAAACGTCAACCAGTTTGGGTGCTGGCTGGCCAGCTCAGTCGGTCAGAGCATCGTCCCGATACACCAAGGTTGCGAGTTCATTCCCCATAAAAGCAGCAACCAATGAATGCATAAATGAGTGGAACAACAAATCAGTGTTGCTCTCTCTCTCTCCCTTCTTCCCTCTCTCTGAAATCAATAAATTAAACACACACACACACACAGAACAACCACTTTGGTCTAAGGATTCACTCATTCGTTTAACAATGTTCACCGAGTGTGTTCTTAGTGACAAGATCCAGGATCCAGTACCCAGGGATACGGTACAAGGTTTTTGCCATCATAAACTGACATTATTTTGGTGTCACCTTAAAACCCAATGTGGCCCTGGCCGGTTTGGCTCAGCGGTTAGAGCATCAGCCTGCGGTCCAGAGAGACCCGGGTTCGGTTTCCGCTAAGGGCACGTACCTTGGTTGCAATTTGTCCCCAGTCCTGGTTGGGTCGTGCGGGTGGCAACCACTCAACGTGTCCCTTTCATGTCGATGTTTCTCTCTCTCTCTTTCTCCCTCCCACTCTATCTGAACAAAATATCAAAAACTGTCCTCGGGTGAGGATAAAAAACACACAAACCCAATCTGGGTAAGAGCATTAGAAGAAGAAAAAAAAAGACTGGGCCAACCTCACTTATCATGACAGATGCAAACACCCTCAATGAAATATCAGCAGATCGAATTCTACCACATATATAAGATATTTCAATGTGAAAAACACATTATTAAAGCGTACACTGGGGGAAATAGGAGATTATCAATTAAAGCTGCAAAAGAAGTCAATAAAGTTTGATATCTATTATGATTTTTAGGAAAACAGCCTGAACAGTCTATAAATAGAGAGAACCTTTGTAAGCTGAGAAAGGTGATATCTCCTAAAACCCTATGACAAACGTCAAGGCAATGCCAAGGAGAATCTTTTTCCAGGAATTTTGATAAACGAATTTAAAAATGAACACAGAAGAGTAAAAGAACATGAATAACTAAGATAAATTTAAGAATACGTGACTTTTCACATGGAAGACAATTAGCTTTCTTTTTTTCTTTTTTTGTACTTTCCTATCAGTAGTCACTTTATTTTATTTTATTTTATTTTTTGCAGAATTTATTGGGTGACACTGGTTAACAAAATTATACTGGTTTCAGGGGCAAAAAAAGTAGCTTTCTCTCACCACTCACTGTATACAAAATAAAATTCCAGATCTATCTGGGAAAAACAAAACAGTTAGATTATTATTTTTTTAATTATACAATACTATCCTTATGACTCCAGAAAGGGAATGCTGTATTAAGACACAGAAAACAAAAATTCTAAGTTAGAGTTCAAGTTGACCATGTGGCCAATGAAAAATTTTATATAAGAGAGATACTACTATATGTATGATTAAAAAAATAAAGCAACAATTGCCCTGGTCAGCTTGGCTCAGTGGTTAGAGTCGGCCTGTGGCCCAAAGGGCATACCTGTGCTGCAAGTTCTGTCCCCGGCCCCCATTGGGGTCTTTCGGGAGGCAACCGAAAGATGTGTCTCTCTTGCACTGATATTTCTCTCTCCCTCCCTCCCTCCCCCCTTCCCTTTCTTTTACTCTCTCTGAAAATAAATAAATAAAGCAACAGGCTGAGAAGACGTTTGCCTGAGATCACAGAGGACAGTGTGGTGGTGACTTGCACATGCTCGGAAGTGACATTTCCTCCCAGCTGTGAAATCTTGGGGTGTCACAGCATCTCTGTGCCCCCTTTTCCCATCTTTGAAAAGGGGATCGGGCTTTTGTAAGGATTAGAGGGATTCATAACCCTAAAAGCTCTCAGGATAGAGCCTGGCACATAGGAACCCATCAAAACATGTTAGTTGCTACTCTTATTTAAAGTACACCTATCAATCGTTAAGAAACCATGAACAATTAAATAGCATTTAGCACATCCCCAAGCACACAGGTGAACAAGCCACTGTCAGCCCATCTGTGGACCAACCTGCAGGCCTTCACTCAAGGAGAAGGGTCCTGCAGACCCGACGGACTGGACTGACATCCTGCTCCCGGGGGGCCCATTGGGAAGACCGTGAGTCAAGACCAACCTCCCAGGAAGACCTTAGGATCTAAATCCCAAACCAGAGGCTATGCGTTCCTCTTCGCAGACTCTGAAAATGCTGGAGAAGGAACCAGGTCTGGGTTCTGGCCTTGACTCCTGAGCTAACTAGCTCTGTGGCTGAGAAGGGGAACTGACCCCACCCAGCCCCCCTGCTCATCCGTGACGGCACAGGTAGAGTGGAGAAGCTTCTTTTTATATTCCTCACCCAAGGATATTTTTCTATTTATCATCAGATGGAGTGGGAGAGAGGGAGAGAGACAGAGAGAAACATCAATGTGATAGAGCCACATCAACTGTCTCTGTGTCACACGACCCGACCAGGACTGAGCATGAACCACAACTGAGGTACATGCCCTCGACCGGAATTGAACCCGTGACTCATTGGTCTGCAGGCCGACACTCTAACCGCTGAGCCAAACTGGACAGGGCAGGGAGAAGCTCTTAAATGCTGTTTATCGTGCCCATGCAATCTCTACGGGGGACTGGGGTGAATAAGGACCTTTTTCGGAGTCAAATACAGAATGTCCAATGCTCCTAGAATTAGGGTCAAAGATATAAGCCCTGCCCTTGATGCCCACCACACTCACAGGGAGAGCCGACCCGCGACCACACGGCCTCAGGAGAGTGCCGGACAATCTCAGCCGTTTCAGAGTTTCGCGGGAATTTAATTCGGGCTAAAGTTTCCATATTACTTGGTCTCAAGGTTAAAGAGCAAAGAAGGGGGGGGGCTGGAGGTAGAAGAAGGTAAAGGAGGAATACATGGTGATGGAAGGAGACTTGATTTGGGGTGGTGAACACACAATACAATATACAGATGATGTATTATAGAATTATACACCTGAAACCTATATACTTTTATTAACCAATGTCAACCCAATAAATTCAATAGAAAAGTTAAAGAAAGAAAGAAAGAAAGAAAGAAAGAAAGAAAGAAAGAAAGAAAGAAAGAAGTTAGTTTGTGTTTGTTTAGAAGGTAAAGTTCAAGAACACTATGCTATGATTGACCTTAGGACTGACCTCTTGGCCACGTCATCTGGTGTTTGACTCTTCCAAAGGCAAAAACAGAAGTGAGAACTTGGCTTTGGTTTTGGTATAAACAACATGAAAGACCTCCAGGTGAGAGAGCAGAGATCGTGGGGATGAAGCCTGATCTTGAGGTACTCTGTTCTTTCTGTGTCCACCTCAGAGCCTGACACCAGCCCCCTCACTTCTAGCCCAAAGACTTTGCCTGGGTCCCCTAGTACTTGGTCAGTGTTTGGTCTTAAGACCACGTTAGAAAACAGAGCGCAGCCCTGGCCACCTTGGCTCAGCCATTAGAGCGTCGGCCCTTGGACCAATGAGTTGTGGGTTTGATTCCAGCCAGGGCATGTGCCTCGGTTTCGGTTCAGTCCCCAGCCCTGGTCAGGGTCGTGTAGAAGGTAACCAGTTGATGTGTCCCTCTCACACAGATGTTTCTCTCTCTCTCTCCCCCTCTCTCCCTCCCTCAGTCCCTCCCTCCCGCTCTATCTGAAGATAAATTTTAAAAAATATCCTCGGGTGAGGATTGAAAAAAAAGAAAAAGAAAACAAAGATCATCTCAGTGGTATTGCCTAGTCTCACAATAAGGATCTCAGTTTCAGGCCTGGGTTTTCCACTCCGACGGGGTCCATGAGTTTTGCAGAGTTGAAAATTCCCTTTCCCTTACCGGCCAAATTTATTCACCAAGACACCGACCATGAGGGATCCGATGAGGCCTCCAAACGGGAACATGGACACAGAAATAGCCCACAGCAGAGTCAAGGAAAAGTCGCTCAAGTAGTCACTGGTCCTATCATAGTAGGTCTCGTTATAAAATTCTTTCATGAGCTGGAGAACAAAGCAACAGAACACCGAAGTTATTTGACCTGGTTTTGCAGAAAGAGCACCGTAAGTCATTGGGCCGACAATGGGACAGCCTGGCCACACAGATGTCAACATTGCTTGGTGGAGAGGTGGGAGTCAGGAGAAAACTGTATTAACTGCAATTAGCAGGGCCCCCGGGGAGGGCCGCGAGGCCTCCGGCAGGCAAACTGCCAGGATCTTTCCAACACCAGGAAGGCCTGACGCGTCTTCCCACCTGTTGGGCGCCCCCTGCGGCTCCGGACTCTTCCACAGACTGCGAGGCTGCAGAAGAGCGGAGGCCAGCCCACCACGCGTCCAGCCAGGCCTGGGGCCTGGTGCATCCCCATGGCCCTGTGCCTGCCCATCCCCTAGGGCCTCTGCTGCGTCCCTTTGCTCGAGGACCCATAGGGTGCCCCCCACAGGTGTGCAGTCCACCCGGGCGGCCACCCCTTGGGGACTGGGCTGCTCCAAACCCACCTCCCTGTTTCCTGGGGGCCCAGTCTCTTCGCCACAGTGACAGTGACCTACCTCGTCAGGGGAGTTAATAACGGCCACATTGTACCCATACTGGAAGGACGACCCAAAGGCAGCTATGAACGTGGCCAGGGCAAGCACCAGCGTCAGCCTCTGCGGGAGGAGAGGTCAGGCTTAGGTCAGCAGGCAGAGGGGTCCCCACTGACTTCACTGTCTTGTCGGAAGACAAATGGAACCGGAAGGTCTGTGTTGTTTCATTGGCTCCCTCTCCGGAAACCTGCCCTCCACCTACCTGGGGTTAGGACGGGCTTTCTCAGTGTGGCACTGAGGGCCTGATGATCCTTTGTGAGGGGCCGCTGTCCTGCATGCATTGTGGGGGTACCCCTGCCCCACCCTTGACAACCCAAATGTCTCCAGACATTGCTAAATGTCCACCTGCCCCTGGTGGGCGGGGAATTGCCTCCCATTGAGAACCCCTGGGTCAGAGACACTGGGGGGCCTACTCCAACACCCCATCTCATGTCTGAATGGCTTCTGTGTCTGCGTATTCAGACCCGCAAATGCCCTCCAGCGCCGCCTCCACACCAGCTCCCCCAAACCAGAGGGAAGCCCTGGTCGGCAGGGCTCAGCTGGTCGGGCATCTTTTTTCTTTTTCCTTCACTTTTGGATTCTGGAGAAACCAGGAAGCACATCCCTCATGCCCATGTGCAGCTGGCTTCCTGCTTCCACAATGCCCAGAAACGGGACCAGCGAGATAACCGTTCGCAGGGCCGGCCCTCTGACTCTGGCTCGGGACGCGGGGAGGGAGGCCCTGGCACCGTCAGCCCCCTCCACACTCCGTGTCCACCGTCACGGACACCTCGGCGTAAGGACTCTCCGGGCAGAATGCCACTATGCCTGGAAGGGTGAGTTTTATCAACACCGTAAGTCACTTTAGCCCGTGATGGAACCAAAAGTTTACAGACACTGGGGTCTACACGGAGAGGGGAGCGAGCTGGCGGTGCCTTGTCTTGTGGCCGCGGGGGCTCTCCTGCTGCTGGCTGTGTGGCCCTGGGCCAGCTACGGAACTTCTCTGTGTCTTGGTTCCTTTACCTGTAAAATGGGGACAATGACACTACCTTTCTTACAGGACTGATGTGAAGAATAAACGGGTTCATATACAGGGGTGAGCAAAAGTAGGGTTATAGTTGTTTGTATGGAAAAAGGCATGCAGGGCCCTGGCCGGTTTGGCTCAGCGGTTAGAACGTCAGCCCGCGGACTGGAGAGACCTGGGTTCGGTTCCTGTTAAGGGCATGTACCTCGGTTGTAGTTTGTCCCCAGCCCTGGTTGGGGTCGTGTGGGTGGCAACCAGTTGATGTGTCTCTCTCACATTGATATTTCTCTTCTTCCCTCCCTCTCTCCCGCTCTATCTGAAGATAAGTGCAAAAATGTCCTCAGGTGAGGATAAAAAAAAAAAGAAAGAAAAAGACATGCAGGTTATGATGATTACAATAGCTTTATGAACTCAAAAGAACGTCACAATGGCACTGTGCACTGAGGTACAATCTCGTGCGTGCTCAAATGGCCGGCCTTCGTCAGTCACTTGTTCTTGTGGGCTACTCGTATACTCAAGCACACTTTGGCACAGAGTTTTTTATTGTCATCAATAAACCACTTTGCCTGCCCCGTATATAAAGCGCTTACAACCACACCTGGCCTGCAATCAGTGTTACACGCGGGTTTGCTATCATTATCAATTATTAACAGGGAGGACCAGAGTGAAAGTTGCTTACTCAAAGGCACCGAACTAATTGGGGGCGGGAGCACGCCACACAAAAAATGTGCATTTTCATTTTCCAAAGCACTTTGGCATTCCCACCCCGCCCCGAATCCATTGTATTTTCTCCTTTTAGACCAAGAGTCTCTTCCCTGGCAAAAAATCCTTGACATGCACTGGACAGATTCTTTTCTCTTTACATATGAGGAACCCAAAGACCAGTGAGGCCGGGATCGCACGGCCACCAGGGGACAGAGGGCAGGGCCCTGCCCCCTGCCAGAGCAGCCCCTGGCAGCCCAGCCCTGCTCCCTGCAGCCTTTGCTGGCCCCTCCGCTGCTCCCTGACTCCCAAATCTCCCCTCAGCTTCGCTTAATGATTCGCAGGCTCTTACAATTAGTCACCAGTGCAACAGTTTTGTTTTGATGACTGCTAGGAAGCCCAGCACGTGCCCAAAGAGGCTGGTCCACCCTCAGGTGGCCCCACGGGAAGCCTACTGGGCGCTGGGCCCTGGTCACTGGGCACTGCAGGCTTCCTTCCCTGGAGAATGGAGGGGGCAGGTAGCCCATACCTTTTGCATGTGATCATTTTAATCATTTCCTTTCAAAATGTATTGCTCATTTTCGGGCACCACCACGTGGGGGCGTTTCCATTTTCTGCAGTGCCCTGGGGACACAGCTGGGCAGTGTATTTCTCTTTGAAGAGGGGTCACAGGCCAGATCAGGGACTCCTCTAATCCCCCACCCCCTATATTCTAGTTGGCTCCCAGTCCCTTCTCTATAGAACAGAGGGGCTAACACTTAACTAGCACTTTCTTAGCTGTGCAAATCAAACAAGGTAATCCAGGTGAAGGTATTCCGTAGTCTCTGAAGCAGTGATTCCTTGGGGTGAATGTGTATTGGCAGCTAGGAAGGGGAGACCGTGGATGTCGCTCAACGCCCTACAGCACACAGGTCAGCCCCTAGCAAGGAATTATCCGGCCCAAATGTCAACAGTTGCCTTGCTCTTAGAGATAGATGATCAAAAAGTAAGAACACCCATGGGGAATTCACTATGTGCCAGTAATTTACATGCATTATCTCATTTGATTGTTCCAGCAGCCCTAGGAGATGGTATGGTTATTATATGCATTTTGTAGATGAGAAAATCCGGGTGCCCAGTAAATAGCTTGCCCAAGTCCCCACATTCAGAATAAGATGGAGCAGACATTCATTTCAGGTACCTCTACCTCCTAAACCTGCTCTTACTCTATGAGCGAGAGTCTGTTCCACACCTCCCTGTGGCAAGGGTCTCACACACGTGACCAAATAAATCGTAATTTGTACAGATCGGTACCTCTCTGCCCATAAATATAAGCAGATGCTGTTGGAATGAAAAAAATACAAATTTCTGGAAAATGTTAATAAATTTGAATTCTTTCTGTTTCGATGTATTTTCCTCAATCAAGAGACTCTAAAAGTGTAACAGCAGGTCCAGAAAAACCTTTGTCTCTAAAATAAAACAAGTCTCATCACCTAAAAGGCAGGGAATGTCTTCTACAGGTTTGAATCACGTTCAAATCTTGCAACATCTAAATTCACGTTGGCTTAATTATGTTATCTGCTGAAAAGGTCAATTTAAAAAGTCTGAAGCTGCCCTGGTCCGTTTGGGTCAGCGGTTAGAGCATAGGACTGAAGGGTCTTGGGTTTGATTCTGGTCCAGGGCACATACCTGGGTTGCAGGTTCCATCTCTGGCCCTGGTTAGGGTAGTGCAGGAGGCAACCAATTGATGTCTCTCCCCCCTCCCCCTTTCACTCTCTCTAAAAATCAATGAAAAAAATATCCTCAGTGAATGTGTGTGTGTGTGTGTGTATATATATATATAAAGTATGAAACCAAAATCAAAGAGCAACAATAAAAAGACACCTGCCACGAAGCAATGTCTAAGAAGTTTGTTTCTGGTTTTGGAGTCTCTTTACTTCAAATTCCTTCGGTGAAGGAAGTTGGGACAAATGACTCCCCTGAGTCTCTTCACTTTGACTGCAGGTCTTTGTAAAGGCTGCTCCAGTAGCATGATTCCCAAAGAACTGCTACATCTCAAAGTCTCTAAATGTCTCCTTTCTCTAGTCCCAGTAAAAGCCTAGCCGCTGGGTGAACCGTGGGGGGCAGGCCGCCAAGACGGCGCTCCCCGACCCGGAGCTCCCAGGACGTCACCCCTCGATGCCCCGGGGGCTGCTCAGTGCCCTTCCCCGAAGTTCACTCACCCCTTCCTTCGTGAGCTCATCCTGTGGCTCCATCCTTGCTCCGGGAAGATGTGCTGCTGACTCCCCTTCAGCCATAGTGACGAGTGCGCTGGTTGGAGACAGAAGACATCCTGGCTGCACTTTGGCCGAGTCAAGTAATGGCCAAGAGCATTTTTACAGCCAGGCTAAGGCAGAATAACCCTTTCGGGAACCCAGAGGTCTGTCATTCTTTCACTTCTTTTAAATGTCTGGGGTTTAGCTCAGCGCGTGGGCACCAGCGCCTAGGTGATGGGACAGTCTTCGATCCCCACTGCGAAACTTCACTGGGCAGGCTCATGGTGAGTGACTGAGGGTTATTTCTGTCACGAACACACAGAAAGAAAGCAACAGCTGCCACCAAGCCGACACCACGTGGAGCACTCTGGGGCAGCAGCGGGACAGGAGGAAGCGGTCCCTGCCTGGACACTCAGCTTTGCCCAAATGGCCGTGCAACACTTCCTTGGAGTTTCTCACTTTCCTTTTTAAGAAACCAGAGTGGCCTAGAGTTGTTGTTTTCTGTGCATTGACTGCTATTGAACAAGCACGCCCTGGCCGGTTTGGCTCAGCGGTTAGAGCGCGGCTGTGGTCCGGAGAGACCTGGGTTCAGTTCCCGCTAAGGGCATGTACCTCGGTTGCAGTTTGTCCCCCGACCTTGGTTGGTCGTGCGGGTGGCAGCCACTCGATGTGTCCCTTTCACATCAATGTTTCTCTCTCTCTCCCCCTCCCATTCTATCTGAACAAAAAATGGACAAATGTCCTCGGGTGAGGATAAAATGAAAGAAAGAAAGAAAGAAAGAAAGAAAGAAAGAAAGAAAGAAAGAAAGAAAGAAAGAAAGAAAGAAAGAAAGAAAGAAAGAAAGAAAGAAGTAAATATTTCAAATCCCATTTTCTGAAGGCAAGGACAGTGAGTCACAGCTGCTGGGCTGGGCATGACCTGGCCACAGTCAGACCCCCACGCGGGCACGTGCTCGGCTGCCCTGGGACGTAGTGGGTCAAGCGGCCAATACCCAGGGCAAAGTCCCACAAGGCTGCAGACTTTCGTCTCTAGGGGACATAATCCCTGTTTTATTTGCTGAGGCACAAATCCAGTTCGTTTAGCCGTTTCTCCCTCCTTCACCTTCACATAAACCTGGGGTCAGGCAGATCCCCGCCTCAGCAGCCACGCTGGGAACTGTGACCAGGCTCCACTGTGTGGGGGACTGTGAAGAGGGTGACAGGGTAGTGGTCCGTGTGTGTGTTTTACGGGTGAGGGGGTGTCCCTATTCAGAAGGGAGGACCCGCCAGCCATAATACAGTGATTTCCAACTAGCTTGGCCAGGCCAGAGGCTTCCAATCATTTCAGAGTTATAAAAATTCTCCAAAGAAAATGCACTTTCAATGGGAGGCGGGTACCCACTCCTGGGGACGGGGGACGGTGCCGGTGGTGTAAACAGAAATCGGTGTCGGAAGCGTGCAAGTCAGGCCAGGAGCTCGGAAGACCCCCTCGGCCCAGATCCTCCACTGCCTTCCCTGCACACCTCTGGGCCGGGGGGAACCGAGCGCTGGGGGTGATGGCGGGCGCAGACACGTCCACCCTGCCTCGACTTCCCCACCTGGAGAGTAGGCCCCCCGGGGGCTCTCCGGGAGGCGGGGCGCAGTACCTGGCTGCTGCGGGTCCCAGAGAATCCCAGGCATGGCCGTGTCACCAACGCCTCCGGGGCGCAGGGGAGCAGCGCGAGGACACGTGATCGTGACGCTGCGCGCGAGATCGCGACGCTGCGCGAGGCCACTGCTGGGGCCGCGGAAAGTGGGCTCCAAGCGGCTCAGACAGTCCGCGGCCTCCTGGCTGGGGTGGAGCCCGCGGCCCCCTGCCCCCGGCCCCCGGCCCTGGGGCAGCATGAGGCCTGGCCGAGGTCTGAAGGCTCCGAGGACACCGGGGGTCTCCGAGGGCCTGGGATAGTCGTGCATGGGCCCAAAGGCCTGGGCACTGCCCCTGCCGGGTCCTTCCCAGCCCCGGAGGGCACAGCAGCCTCTGGTATCAGGCCGCCCTTAGGCGTGTCAGGCGGTCGCCGGGCTCTCAGAGACCTGGGGGCTCAGACAGGGACTGTCCCTCCTGGGGGTCCTTCCAGACCCCTGCCTCAGACTGACCTGAGGTGTGTGGTCAGGGTTTGCCCCCGCAAGTCGGCCTTTCGGTTTTCCGAAATTTTCACTCGCCACCGGAACTGAAACTCGGGTGTGGGTTTCTGAGTCCCGCTTACTGGGTGGGCCTCCCCCCGTTCCTCTGTCTGTCCAGTCTGGACTGGAAGGGAACTTGACCACGGATGTCTATTTTTGCCTTGGGGTTTAAAATGACAGTAATAAACAGCAGTGATCAGTCCAGGGACTTTTTGTCTAATGGCAGATAACCGGCTAAGGTGTGTCACCCGGACATGTCTTCATATTTTCAAGAAACTGATTTGTGTTTTGAAATGATCTCGGATGAGAGTCCAGAAATCACTTTTAAAGTTGAGGGAAAGTGGGTGGTGGCAGGGCCACACCCGGGTGCAGGCAGGGCCTTCCCGACCTGCTCCTCCCCTCCTTCCACAGGTTGATCCATTCCTAGGGAGTCATCTTAGGACTCGATCCCCGAGGGAGAAAAGGATCCAAAGGTCCTCTCCATAGCCTCTCACGATGGGCAAAGCCTTCCGAGCATCCTTGCGTACCAAGGATCCCGACAGGAGGGTTTGGGTTCCAGACCCCCATTCCCAGATCCTTTTCCCCATTTATTGCTAACACTTATTATGTTGGAAAATGTGAATATGTGAGCGCACAGTTTGAGAGGACTTGCCAGGATCTGAAAACAGTGGTGATTCTGGGATGTGAGGTTAGGGCTCGACTCCTGGCAGATGCTTACATTTATTTTACTGAGCAACTGCGGAAGTAGACGAGGTAGGTACAACAGGGTGCAGAAATAAAAATAGCCTCCGCCTCAACTAGACTAGTGGAGGAAACAGACTTTAGTCAAATAAACATATTGATGAATTTATAGCTATAAAAGGGCTCTAAAGCCTGAAAGTGGGGCTCAGTTGTGCGTGGCCCCATGACTGAGAAGTCCTGGTTAGATTCCCGGACAGGGCACATGCTCGGGTTGCAGGCTCCATCCCCAGTAGGGGGCGTGCAGAAGACAGCCCATCGATGTTTCTATCTTTCTCTCCCTAAAAAACAATAAAAACATGTGTTGTTTGTTTGTTTGTTTGTTTGTTTTTAAAGGGCTTGCCCTGGCTGGTCTCTCAGTGGTTAGAGTGTTGGCCCAAGAACCAGAGAGTCTCGGGTTCAATTCCCAGTCAAGGGCACGTACCTCAGTTGCAGGTTCTGTCCCTGGCCCCAGTCGGGGCCATGTGGGAGGCAACCAGTCAATATGTCTTTTCTCACATGGATGTTTTTCTCTCTACCTCCCACTTTATCTAAAAAAAAAAAAAAAAATCAGTGGAATAATATCCTCGAGTGAGGATTAAAAAGGGGGGTGGGGTGGCTCTAAAGACTGAGGTGGGGGTAAGGCTGGTCAGAAAAGGCTTCTTCAAGAAAGTGACCTTGAGCTGAGATGAGACTAGACGGAAGGATGAACAGAGCTTACCTAGGCAAAGGGGCTGGGGGTTAGGGATGGGATGGTGGAGAGAACTTCTCAGAGAGGGAACAGTTCATGCCAAAGCCCTGTGGTAGCAGAGAATGTGGTGCCTTCAAGAAACTGTAAGACCAGTGTGGCTCAAGAACACAGAACAGAGGGGAAGAGTGGAGGGAGAAGGGGGTGGTGAGATGGGCCGGGCCAGACCATATTTAGCACTTGTAGGTGGTATTAAGGAGCTTGATTTTTGTCTTAGGAGCAGAGAGAAAGCATGAAGAGTTTTGGAGAGTGATCAGATTTGTGTTTTTAAAAATGTACTAATCTTTGAGGGGGACAAGAGACCAATGAGAGTGGGGAAGAGGAATGGAGCAGTTCTTGGCTGTGGAATAGGTGAAGGATGGTGGTGACTTGGACCAGCATGGTGCAAGAGGTTAGAGGATCTATCTGAGAGAGAGGATGTCAAGTTGATGAAACTCGGTGATTGACAGGATGATGGTGTGGAGAAATAAGAGAATTTCTATATTACTGTTGGAATAAAATGAAAAATAAAAACAATCTTTTTGAAAATGAAGCTTTTCAGGATTAAAAAAAAGTTTATATAGGAAAATGTAACCTGAACATAACATGTTGAATTAGCATCTCAAAGCAGGTTGGACAATCCCTGGGCTGTTCTGAGACCAGACAGTAGTAAAAGAACTTCAGGTCATTGATGGCCTCACCTCTACTTAGGAATGTTGTGGAATTTTAAACTTTTGCTGTGGGCTTCTATTGTAGACTGCTGTGCCCACCCCCCAACCCATCCCCAAATCTATTTGCCCAGTCCCTCCTCAACAGTAATGGCATTATCTGTGGTGGGACCCGTGGCTGCCCAAAATAAAGACTGCATCTCCCCATTGCCTCTGTACTTGGATAGACAAATAACATGGTTCTGCCCAATGTGACATATGAAAAGGTGTCATGTGGTGGCTTCCTGCACCCTTGCTCTCATCTTTGTCCCTTTCTCCGCATTGCTGCCTGAACTGAGGGTGCCACCAGCGTGGACCACAAGGTTGAGGCCACATGGAACAGAGCAACAAGATGGAAGGAGCCTGGGTCTTTTACTTTGTGGGCTGTTATTCCGGCCCCAGACCACCGCCTGAACTTAACACGAAAGAAATACTCTTCCATTTTGTTTTCTGTTACTTGCAGCTGAGCCCAACTCTCACTGATAGAACCATCAAACCTCTGCCTGAAAGTCTATTAGAACAGAATGCGAGAGGGGAGCCTAACCCTTGAAGAAGCTGTGAAGACATTTTCATTGACTACGGCCTGCGTCAGATTTTAAATTCTGATGAACCAGCTTCCCCTTGGAAGTGAGCGCCTGAAGACCCTCGTCTCAAAGGAGAAAGTGTGGACCCCTGAGCTGCAGGGTGCAGATGTCAGGGGAGAGTCACCCAGGCTGCTGTTTTCATTAAGCT